GCTCCTAACAGATGGCAGGTGTTAATTTTCCCCTGCTGGCTGGACGATGTGTGCAGCATCCCTGATTAAAAACATGGTGCTTTTCCAACCTGCAGTCTCTGCTGGGGAGCCAGGACTTTGAGGAGAGGAGAATAACTAGGAGAGCAATGAAGCTTCTCAACAACCTGAAGGTAAAAGGCCTGCTACTGAAAAATAACAAAACTACAGGTGAAAAAATAGCTGACAGGAAAATAAAATGTCATTATAGATCCAAAACATAAAAAAGGTTCCCTTATTAAAATAAAAACATCCAATTATTTTCTGTTTTGTTGACAAATTTCTCTTGATTTGTAGTTATGGGCCGAATAAAATCATTTAAAGGGCCACGACTGGCCCCTGGGCCACACCTTCGTCACCCTTACACAGAGATACCCAAAAATTATACCGAAGTAAAAACAGCTCTACTTGACCATATTTTAACCCAAGGAAAAAAGTATTTGGTAAAAAGTCTACTCAAGTATTCATCAAATTATCAATCATTCAATATTTAAAAATGATGTAATCAGACGGACCAAAATATAAAGTTAAATAAAAAGTAACAAAATCAGGGAAATAAAAAAATTATCTTTTTTTTTTTTTTTCAATAAAAAACTTTATCAAAAGCTGCAAGTGTGAGTCTGTGTCAGTGGGTAAAACGTTCAGAAAATTTAGTAGAAAGTACAGAGTGGTAAAAATACTCCTAAAAGTAAATTTTGTCAAAAAAAAAGTTACTCAAGTAAATGTAACTAGTTACTGCCCAACTCTGTTAAATGTACATTAACACATTTTATTCAAAACTGACAGTTTTTTTGTTTTGTTTTGTTTTGTTTTTGTTTTTTTTTTGAGGATTTTGCTACACAAAAATTATTTCTGCCTTATTTTTCCCCAGGAATGTAACGACTATTACAAAAACGGACTGAAACGACACCTGAAACCAATCAGAACTGATCTGATGGATGTGTTTGCGTTTTGTTTCTGCAGCACAGCCACGGCGGCGCCGGAGATCCCGCCTTCAGCCTGCTGTCGCTCTGCAGAGGAAACACTCGATCGCAGGCTGCAGCCACTTTCTTGTCTCTGCTGGTTCTGAAAAAGCAACAAATCGTGGTTCTGCACCAGCCGGGCCCATACCTGGACGTCTCTGTGGCCCCCGGGCCCAAATTCTACACCTGAAGCGGTTCTGGTTGTTTGGAGTAGATGCCGTTTGGTCACAGCAAGCTCATTTCAGTTGTATGAAACTGGTGTTGGCCTGTTTCTGAGAGAGAAAGTATTTATTTTTTATCGTTCTTTGTATTTTGTAACTTATTTCAGCTGCTGGTTTTTTACATTCCCACCTGTTTGGTTCACGTCTTGTTCGAATGTCACCTGCATGTCGGAGCAGCTCCATCCCAGGTGTGATTCATTTAACCTGAGAGAGAAAACCAAGGTGAAAACTTACTATGTAAAACATATATAAAATAATTCTCACACCTGTGAAGTTTGATGACAGGTTTGTTGTGTAATTTAAATATTTTGTCCGTGCCAACAAAGTTTTAATTTTCTGAAAGCTAAAATCATCAAAGTTATAAGAAATAAGGGCTTGGAATATTTACTCTTTACGCACCGAGTCTAAAAAATAGCTTCAGTTTCTGAAATGAGTAACAAAAAGCATTTATTTTCACAATGTTCTACTTTTTTGAGATGTAAATGCCTTAAAATTAAATCAAAGGAAGGAAGCAAAACAAAACCAGGTACAGAGTGCAGAGAAACACATTTTTTCAGAAACCTGACGTTTTGGTTGTATGTAATATTCTAATTTTCTGAGACACTAAATGAATAGATTATTTATTATCTACGTTTCGCTGTAGCAAGTGATTCACACGTTGCATGATTTACGTCAGAAATCAAATGAAAGTAGAAAAAAACATGGAAGAACGTGTAATTTTAGGCTAAACTAAAATGTAATTGATGTAATCAATTCACAAGTTAATTTACCAAATGTTTTCTCCACATCACAAGTGAAATTTTATTCCTTCCTCTAAATGCAACCTGTTCATCTCGTGATCTCAAGAAAACAAAGCCTGTTTTCTTGAGATTAACTTAACTCAAAAACTTAATTTGAGGGGGGGAAAAATGGGGGAAAGTATATATGTGGAAAACAAGAAATGAACTCAATATCTTGAGAAAAACATTGGAGAAATTATTTATCTAGAAAATACAGGAAGTTAAGTGATTATCTCAAGAAAACTATTTGAAAGCTAAATTGTTTCAAGAAAATCATTGAGAAATTAATTTTAACTCGAGAAAACCATTGTTAAATTAACCCGAGATAACAAGTTAATAATGAAAATTAACTCGTTTTCTCTAGTAAACGTAAAATTAAGACATTATCTCGAGAAATCAAGACAAAGTTTTTGTGGATAATATGAAATTAACTCATTATCTCTAGATAACCAGTGGGGATTAACTCCTTGAGAAAACCATCAAGAATTTAAGTCGTTATTATGAGAAAATGGTTAAGTCATCTAATAACGATGTTATTAACCATCGTTAAGGAGGTATAAGGAGTTAACAATGGAAATTAAGTCGCTATCTCTAGAAAGCCAATAGAAATTAACTCCTTATCTTTAGAAAACCACCAAGAAATTAAGTCATCTCTGGAAACCCAGTGGGAATTTAACTCCTTATCTTGAGAAATCAGGGATTTAAGTCGTTATTGCGAGAAATTGATCTCTAGAAAACCATTACTATTAACCGTCATTAATAATGGAAATTAAGTCGCTACCTCTAGAAAACCATCAAGAGAAAAATGTGAAAAACGTCCACTCTCGGCTGCCGTAGACTGTATGTGTGTAACGAATCTATATAATATGCGTTTCACTCAATTAGCGATAAAACTATATTATTGTACTTTTTTTTAGATCCTTCCTAATATGTTTTCAGGCTGAGTGTTTTATCGGGTCTGGGTTGTGAGCGGCTGCTCCGCGTGTCTTGCGGGGATGTTGCGGGTCTCCAGATGAGGCGTGATGAGTCCCTCCTGTCACTTTAAGAAGCAGCAATGCAGCAGCGGCTCTCGCCTCATTTCGTCTCGGTGCTTCATGGCTGCAGGATGGACTCTCATCAGCACCGCCAGCACCTCTTCTTCCTGCTGCCGCCGGGGACCATGAAGTCGGGCCGGAACCGAGGCTCTTCCGCGGTACCGAACCGGTACTGTTTCACCAGCACAGGTAGAACCCGTCCGCCTCCGAGCTCCACCTTTCCATCCGCTGTATATAGGACACTGCTGAGTCTGGGTTCGTTTTATTTGCTAAGATAGAAAGTAGATTCTGGCTGATTGAATCTCTCTTGTGCGGGGACTTGTTTATTTTTTTATTTTTTTATTTATTTCTTATCGTTTTAATTTATGTAAAATTATTTCCTGCGTGTGACAGACGGGAGGGATTCGCTGCTGACATTTTAATCGCTGCATCATTTGAACCTGAAGCGGTCTGGTTTCATCCTCCTCCACACTTACGTAAGGTGATTGCGTATTTCTCACCAGCTCTTTTCCACTTGTTGCGCAAAGCAGAGCAGAGCTTCGTCCTAGAAAAGGAGGATGTAGGACGGCGAGGAGAAGCAGGCTCTTCTCCTCCAGACCGGGTCTTCATCAGCTTTATGAAACTTTGCTGAGATCCGGCAAGTTCTGAGGAAAATGGCGACATTTTGTGCTCATTTCACATAAATATTTCTCTTTAAGTTCATTGTTTACACTCTGCTGTGCTTAGTTTTACAAAAATGTACGATATTTCTGACTTGTTTGAGTTATTCACAATAAAATAAATGTTTTTATAGAAGTAGCAGAAGTGAAGTTATGCCTCATTTGTAGTTCTTTGCAAAAATAAAATAATTCAGAGCCCTTTAATTTCTCAACAACAAAAACGGTAATGTAGTAGAAAACTTTAGAAAAACAAATGATCTGAGAAGTTTTTGTGCATTTTTATTCAGTCATATTTACTCTCATAAAATCTAGTGAAATTAATGTTCTTGTTTCCTGACACCCTTACATAAAATCAGATGTAATTAGTTGGAATTAGTATGCGTAAGTGAAGGATTAATTTATATTTTTTGTGATAATTGTGTTGTAGTTTAATTGTTTTTGGTATTTATTGTTTGTATTGATTTAATTTTTGTATTGACTAAATAAGGACAACAGATGACTTAAAGCCTTTTGGCTAATTCTGCCGTGTTTACAGAAATGTGAATTAATGTTGCATTGTCCCTTCCAATTAAACTAAATTAACATTTTTTAGAATATTACTAAATTCAATGCTTGTTGCACTTAACTGCTTCAGATCATTAAGAAAATCCAAAATAGACAAAGGTAAGCTGAAGAAATAAAAACATTATATTTTCAAATGATTTTATTTATTAAGCGAGAAATCCAAACCACCTTCTCTCTGAAAAAAGTAAACATCTCTTAAAGTTAGTAACTTTTGTCTGACATAAACATATCCAATAATGTTTAATGGACGAATTTTCTGCTGAATCGCTTTAATCCATAAAATCTGAGGGTTTCTGAGCCTGAAAGGACACCATGCCAGGCCGAGCCTCAGGGGGATTTAAACCTGAACTGGGTCACTGAAAAACCTTCAGTTTAATTTATTTATTTAGCCATCCAGAGGTGAACTGGCTCTGTGTCGTCGTCCTGCTGGACAACCAAAGTGTTCTTTAGTTTAAGGTCAAAAATTGACAGATTTCCATTCTTTGCTCCATTAATCTCAGCAAATCCTGCCGTTATGATGTTCTTTTTCTGAAAAACAGAATGAATTAAAACAACCATACCACACACTCGGGCATAAGAGAAATTTACAGTCTCAACTTCACCTGGAAAACGACTACACTGCAAAAACGCAAAATCTTACTATTTTGGTCAAGATTTGAGTGCAAATATCTTACTACAGTAGAAACAGGGAAAAAAAAACTTTCAGCAAAATATAGGAGCTTGTTCTAAGTCAGTAATTCCTTAATATTAATGAAAAAGTACTAGTTCCACTTATAAGGCATTTTTGCCATGTTATAAGTGAAATAATCTGCCAGTAGTAATTAAAAGTTCTTTGTCTAAAGAGCAAGTGATGGAAATAACGGCATACTACTTTAAAACAAAGATGCATTTCAATGAATAAAACTATAACAGAGTTGAAAAAATGCACTACCAGCCCAAAATAAATTAAAATAATCTTTCACACTTCTGAGTTAATAATTAGGACAATGATATATTGTTTGCAACTTATATAGCTCATTTAATGCATATGTCCATTAAAGTTTGTTTTAATTTTTGAGAAAAGGTTTATCCAAGATTTGTTTCTTCTTCCTGCTCTCTGTTTGCGAATTAATGATGAAATTTGTTAAATGAAGCGAAACGTTTTATTTAGGTCTGGACAATAACTCAGTAACAACATATGTACCCATGATTAATATCAACAGATGATATATCTGGAAGGATATTCAGGATATAGAAAATTCACTGAACTCTAATCCAGAACCGCACAGCATTCTGGGAAATGTAGGCAGAGGAAAGACTTGAGCTTCTCAACCTCCCAAAGCCAGATAAGTTAGTGGGACCAACTAACTCACTCATTCTTTGGTTGCCTAGCAAAGACCTGTGGAGTAACTGAGGCAGCAGCAGTTTAAGGTTCCGCCATTTTGCCTCATAACTGCTTAAAAAAAAGCAACACCGTGGAGAGAAAGCTGTGGTTAAACAGGAAAGGTCACCTCAGACATTTAAAACAAAAAATATTCAATAATTGATACTGGATATGAAACACTTTTATGTTTTCAGCCATATTGTTCAGCCCTAATTTTATTACATAACTCAAATCCTAATCCAAGAGAAGGTTAGCAGTAGCGGTGATCCATCTGTTTCTAACAGTAACGATAAAAAGCAAGTAAATGTCTCTGCCAACCTCCAGTAATCAGACTGTCGTGTTGTTCTTCTGTCAGTATTCGTTGAATCATGTTTATTTTCAGCTCTGCTGCAGAAGGACAGCCCAGGCTGTGAACTCACTGGTCCTCTTTGTGTCCTCGCAGAAAGAAGGCTTTATTTCCTGCTAATATCTTTCCTAAGGGGTCAGACTGTTGTCACTGGGTTACAGTGAATATATACACAGAGCAGATCATTTAGGGCAGAATTCGTCCTCTTTTGGGATTCACCTGGCTGGATTTGAGCTTGTCTCTGATTATGTAATGTACTTATTTTGCTGCCTGCTGCAGTTATTACAGACTGGCTGTGAGGGCTCCCAGCATCCCATTAGCAACAGCACAGACGACCTCGGATTTGCTTTTTCACCCCAAATGTCTCTCACTCCGAGTCGGAAGTCATCCTCCATTCAGCGCAGGTAATTTTCAGAGTTTTAAGTCTCACTCAGCTGTAACTTTAAAGGGAACACATGCCAAATTTAAACTTTACATGTTTTTATACTTTCATTTGGGTTTCAACTGCTGCTAAAAACAACTCAGGCGCTTAAAAAAACGAGAAAAAAAAAAAAAAACAACCAGCCCTTTTTTGGCAATAAATTAATGTTTTCTATGTCAGGAAAATGAGCCATTTCAAAAACCTCCTGATTGTTAATGCTGCGTTCCAGTTATTTGTTCAGTTTTTAGTTGCAGGCAATACAGGTAAAACTGATTTTAGACGGACTCTTACTTGTCTTTTACAATAGGTGTGTTTCCATTACAGCTCACTACTGTTGATGCGAAGAGCAGCCATATTGAAACGCAAAGCCCACCTTACAAGTTGTAACTGGAGGTAGTTGAACTTGCTCCCTGTTTCTCAGTGGGAAATCCGACTTGGGGAGGGGGGTCCCAGATGATTTTTCCAACTAGGAAATCAGGATTTCCCAGTTCTAAATACAGCTGGAAAGCAGCATTGGTCACAATCGAGAAGCACTGCGGTGTTACCTAGCAACCCCAGCCAAGTCCAGCCCCGTTACCTAGCAACCCACACTCAGCTCCTGCAAGTTTGGTCAGCTGGTTTTATTGTATAATGGCTGCTGGAAAAGACGAGTGTTTTGTTGTCGACTTACCATCCAGAAAACCACTTTCTGCATTCTTGTTGGTTGTGCAGGAGGCTCCACTTATGCTATTCAAAGATGTGCGGTTGTATAATTGCGATAATTTTTTAAATAAATTGTAACAAACATGTTTTGTATCGTCTACAAACCTTTCCTAACCTGTTTATGGAAGGATAATAAATCACCTTTAAGGCTTTGGAGTAAAGTCTATTTTCCCCTTAAGGCGCTCTGTTGGAACGAGTGGCGGGAGCAGGGGATGTTCCCATAGCGACACGTCCAGCACTTACACCTATCCCGGCCGGACGAGGGGTTCTGATGGCAGCCCCACAGCCCGGACCAATCCAAGCACGCCCAGGTGGGTTACTGTTCGGCCGCATGAGCAGAACAAGGGTTTCCAGTTGGAGTGTTAATGAGTTGGTGTGTTAATGAGTTGGTGTGTTAATCAGGTGTTCACCTGTTTGTGCCGATTCAGGCGCCAGACGAAGCACACGGCCTGCATCAACAACCATGGGATCAAAGTCCCGGCGCCGGAGCAGTACCTGACCCCACTGCAGCAGAAGGAGGTCTGCATCCGACACCTGAGGGCCCGGCTGAGGGAGAACGTGGAGCGACTGCAGCACAGGTCCACCAGCCATCCAACCATCCTTTCATCCATCCAACCAATCAACCAACCAACCAGCCAGCCAGCCAGCCAGCCAGCCAGCCAACCATCCATCCATCCAACCAATCATCCATCCAACCCCCCAACAAACCAACCAGTCATCCAACCAACCAACCATCCATCCATCCAACCAACCAACCATCCAACCAACCAGCCATCCATCCAATCATCCAGCCATCCAACCAGTCATCCAACCAACCAGTCATCCATCCATCCATCCTCAATTAATCCATCCAACCAACCAACCAACCAGCCATCCATCCATCTACTAATCCATCCTTCTTTACTTCCATCAGTCCATTAATACATCTATTCATCTGTCTGTCCAACAATCCATCCACCCATCTGTCCAACCAACTGCCCATCGATTAATCAATCCATCAATCCGTCCGGCCGTCCATCTGTCTACTAGTCCATCCAGACATCCATTGTTGAGAACGAGAATCTCAATCGATGAATCATAATTTGTATTGACACACGGAGCATAAAATCCGTCCGGCCGTCCATCTGTCTACTAGTCCATCCAGACATCCATCCATTAATCAAGCTATTTTTCCATTTTATGTACATCAAACCATCCATCCATCTTTCGTTCATTCATCCATTGTAATAATCCTTCTCTTATTATTTTCCAGGGACTATGAAATAGAAGAGTTGAGGACCCAGCTGAACAAGATGCAGGAAGACTGGATAAAGGAGGAGTGTCACCGCCTGGAGGCCCAGTTAGCTCTGAAGGAGGCCCGTAAGGAGATCCAGCACCTGCACGAAGTGGTGGAGTCGGTCAAATCCAACATCGGCGTCCATGACCAAGACCCTCACGATTATAAGCCATACTCAGGGCTGCAGGCAGTTCGGCCTGGAGGAAAGTCCAGGTCTTGTGGTTGTTCCCCCGCCAGCACCTTGACCCGCTGTTCCACCTTGACCCGCCGGAGCAGCGAGGCTCTGCAAATGGACCGCAACCCTCCAGAACCAAGCGGGGCACCTCGCTCCGCGGAACAAACCCACCTGCTGTTGGAGGCGGCGCGCTTGTCTGAGCAGCTGCCACACCAGGCTCACCACCTCCGGCCCGGACCGGCTGTCTCCCGCTCGGCCACCTGTGAGCGTCTGTGCAGCGGCGGCGCCGTGCTGCCCATGTCCCACTCCTGCCACTCCCTCAGCAGCAGCTGCAGGTGTGGTGGACATGCCTACCTCCCGCATCATCCCCTGTTCCTTCACTTACCTCAAGAAGAGCCGCCACTTTCAGCAGCAGCAGCAACACCACCCACCGTCCCGGTCCCAGTCCCGGTCCCGGAGAAGAAACCGGAGGTCCGGTCTCAGGGCTGCAGCCCCACCATGACCTGGCTGAGCAAGGAGAGCAGCACCGAACAGCTGAGCGTCATTTCCACAGGGAAACCAGAGGTCACCCTTTCGGATCCATGGTCAGTGTCAACATCTTTACCTCTGCTGTCCCGTCCAGATCTCCCTCTTGCTGCTGCTGACGAACCTGAGGACATCAGAAAGGTGCTGGCAGGGCCCCACACCCACCAACCCAAGCCAGTAGAGCAACTTCCTGTTAGACAGGAAGCTACTGTACTGGAGTTTGACGAGGACGAAGCAGAGGGAAGTGAGGACAGGCGACCCCCTGAGTTGTCACACTGGAGCCGCTACTTCCTGGTAGACCTTCTGGCTCTGGCGATGCCGGTGGTTCCCACTATGGCGTGGCTGTGCCGGGGGGCACCACAGGAAGTCATGCCCGCCTACCACATTGGCTCCCTGCTGAGAGGCTGCTGTGCTGTGGCCCTCCACTCGCTTCGGCGGCAGGGCGCAGGCCGGGACAGGCCGACCGCTGGCATGAACGGGACAACTTCAGTCTGACTCTTCAAGCCCACTTCTAGATTAACGGGGATCTATTATGCCAAATTAACATTTTCATGCCTCCATTTGGGTCTCAACTGCTTCTAAGAACAACCCAAGCAATTTTAAAAAAAGAACATCCAGCTATTTGACAATAAGGCTACGTTCATATCGCAGCCAAAAGTGACCCAGTTCCGATTTCTTGTCAAATCGGATTTCTTGGCGTGGTCATTAACACTTCCAAATAAATGCAACTTGTATGTGATCTCCAGTGTGAACTACCAGAAAGTGTCCCGCATGCACAGTAGAGGGCGCAATAACGTCACACAGAGAGCGCGTGCAGTGTTTTGCCGACCGCCATTAATAAGAAGTGCTCAGTGTTTGGGGAAGAAAACATGGATGCTAAACACATAAACACATACAACCATCATTTGTATGGTACTACAATCATTCTACATACTACAATCATTTTGACCAAAACTCACACAAAGACACACACAAGCTTTTCTCTCTGTTACAGTTACTATTTTGAAGTTGTTTTCCGACAGGAGCCAGCACATTAACAACTTATTCCTCATTATCGTCCGTCATGGTTGTTGCTTTTCTTCCCAGTTGGGCGTATCAGGACACAGAATAGTGACGTGGACGTTAGGTCGCATTTGAAAAAAAGCTGACCTCTGTTGTTCCTATGGTTCAGACTGTCATGAAAATATCAGATACAGGTCGCATTACATAAAAAAAAAATGGAATTGGGTCACTCCAGCCTCCAGTGTGAATGCAGCTGAAGTTAACATTTTTAGCCTTTAGAAAACCGTTTCAAAAACCTTCCGTTACCTAGCAACTCCAGCCAAGCTCAGCCCGTTGCCTAGCAACCCAGTCAAAGTTCCAGCACATGGCTACTGGAAAAGACAAGTGTTTTGTTACTGACTTACCAGAAAATATGTTTGTATAATGCTTGAAGACGGTTGTATAATGTCTGTTTGCAGCCATTTTCAAGTGCGAGTGTAAACATTGAGTTGGGAAGCGAGGCCAGCAGCAGCTTGTTTGGATTTAAAATGACAGGAGGCCCTAAAACTGAATAATTATGTGCAAAAATGTAATGAACATGTTTTGTATTGCCCATAGATCTATTCTAACATGTTCAAGGAAGCATAATAGGTCACCTTTAACATCACCAGTCTAATCATCTGCAGATCAACTCTGACTTTTAAATCCCTGCTCCTTGTTGGATGCCTGCTCATTTAGGAATTTTAGGAATTAAATAATTGCGCTTGTAATTCTGTCAGCCGGTTAGTGACTTAGAAAAACAAGAATTAGCTGGAATTGTTTAATTTCTCACATATGCCCTCTGCTTTTGCAATATTAGAGTATTATTGAAAAGTTTAATCAGTTTTTCAGTTCAAAAAGGGAATCTCATCACACAGAATTACATTTTAGGTTGTTTTTTTTTTTCAGATAATGTTTATTATTTTAGGGCTTACAGCAAATGAAAACCCAAAATTCCGTTTCTCAATATTTCATTTGGGATTTATGTTATGGCCTACACCAGAGGTCTGCAACGTTAACAATTGAAAATACATTTTGCCCTCAGTCCAGCTAAATACAGCATAAGCGCTTCAAATGTTAATGATTTGAAAAAAGACAACTTCCATTTTTAAATTAAATATTTATTATAGGAAATTTGTTGTACGTTTTAAAGAAGCACAATTTTATTTCCAGTTTTAGATTTTAAAACAAATCAAAATGTGACAATCTTTGCAAACAGAGGATTAATAAATGTAAAGAATATAAACGGCTACTTTCATTCAGTTGTGCAAGTTCAATACAATTATTCTACAGAAAATCTGGAAAAACTACTAAAACATGCATTTGTTAGTATATTTGATCATTTTTAGCTAAAGTTTTAAAGAGCTTGGTCAGATTGGATTATATTTGTTTTAGTTCATTCTTCATTCTGTTGATCGCTTTCTTTATGGAGATGCTGATTCCAGTTTCCAACAGGATTTTGTACCTGTTCACTCTGATAAAGGTACATTTCTGTATTTAAAAACTTTCTATATTGACTTTATTTAGTGTTCAAAATTTTATGAGAAACTGAATCTTAAATTTCCATTTTCGCTGAGTCATAATCTTCAAAACAATACATTCTTAAAGTATAGAATTCTGTTTAAGTGAGTTTTAAACCGATTGTTATAAACTTTTCAAGGATATTCTGATTTACAGAGAGCTGTAAGTGCTCAGCTCCTTTAACAGTTTGCATGTAAAGCACAGATTGTTTCAGACCTGCATTGGTTTTGGTAACCAACCTTCAGGGCAAAGATGTACAGTTTATACAATTAAAAATAATCTGAAGTTATGCACTTCTCTTTTTGTATCAAAAGTATTTTAAATTAGATTTAAGGAAATGTTATCCGTGTCTGAGTGCAAGAAAAAGCAGGAATTCATTTTAGTTTTACAAACTTAAATCTAATGTTTTAAAGCATTTTACATGTTTGCTGCAGGTTTCTTGCTATATATGCTTGCTACAGTGTGTGAGGCCTTATAAAAAAGGAGTCAATTTCCACCAAAAAACTCAGAAATTCTGAGATTAACAGTAATTTTCTAGAAAAAAGCTTGGAAATGTAACTTTTTTTTTTTTTTTTTTAAGGACATCTCTGAATTTCAAGGTCAAAAATCAAAAAATGTTTTCATAATCTGTAAGCCATAATCATCAAAATTACAATAAAAAAGGCTTAGATATTTCACTGTGGAATGAATCTATGGGTTCCACTTTCTGAAATGAGTCAAAAAGGATTAAACTTTTTCACAATATTCTAATATCTTGCGATGACCCTTTATAAAGGTTTAACACTCTGTCATCAATGTACAATAATTCAGTCCAGGTTTGACCAGTCTATTGCAGTTATAACGCTTCTCTCAACAGCTATAAAAATACTTCAAAATGCTCTTTTGTGTTTCCAAACGTAGAATAAAGTATTTTATGAACCTTAAACTGTGTTGTAAAGAATTTATTTTCTAGAAATGATGAATAAAATGGTGTCCAGAGTTTTAAAACGGTGAAGCAGCGTCTTACCAAATGCAAAACGATAGGGGGCGCACTTTCCCCCAGAGCCAGGATATGAAGGCACAACGAACAGCCAACGTTTTCTTTCCCCCTGGTGAAGCTGCCTGCGTTTTCAACGTTTAGCTCTTTTCAGTTCCTGAAACTGAAATCAAACTTTTGTCAACCAAACTATTAAACTAATAATTTATTATATTTAAGGTATATTTAAGAGACTTGACCAAACACATGATAACTGTTCTTCACAGCGTATTGTAATCAATATTTTCCATGATTACCATGTTATCACCCACTTAAAATACACCAGTCATATGGCGCTAAATTGGCACCATAAAGTTTATTAAATATTTTTCAAACTGAATTTTTTTTTTTTAACTTAAAAAAAAGGTTCTGGGACTTAAATAAAATTAAAGATTCAAGTTAAAATTATTTTGAAACTGAGGAAAAGATTTAAATAAATAAAAAATACAACTGAAAAAAAAAGTTCATAACCATAATTATGAAACTGGAAAAAAAAGTTTTAGAACTGAAGATTTTTGAAAGTTAAAAAGAAAATAACTCCCCACTACTTTCAAGATTATTTTCCCCTCCCTTTCAGTTTTTATTTTCTTTTTAGCTTTCTGGCCCCAATTTAGTTCCATACAGAGTCTACCCAATAGACCAAAACACATATATTTATCTTGTCGAGTTTCTTGAAACATTTTGTCCTGCAAATAAATATAGATCCACGTAATTCATTGCAATTGTTATCGCAAATTCTGCAGTAATAATTGAGATTTTTATATGTGCAGCTAAAGTAAATTTTTCTGCTTTGAGATTTAAAACTGGATCTATCAAATCTTATATGTGTCAACAACATTTCATACTTTTAAGTTAAGTTGCCTAATAAACTGGACTTTATAATAAAATCACCCAAAATCCTTAAAAAAAGAGAGAAGAAACCACAAATGTTCATGAAAAAAAAAACTTTGGATAGTGCAAAAAATATTGCTCCTTAAGAGTAAAATGCTTCAGAGTTAAAGTTAACATGTTACAAATCTCACAAGAGAGATGTCCTTTTTTAAACAATTAGTCAATGCTATGTATATATATATATATATATATATATATATATATATATGTAATTAAGAGATATGCAGAAGATAAATATTTTATCTTCACCTGTTTCTATATTTTTTGATAATCACAAAGAAGGAAATGTTGAAACTTTCTACAAGAAATGAAAGCAACAAAAATTTTAAGGTGAGATTTAGAAGCAGCATGAATGTTTCAGTGTTCAGGAAAATGTAATCCATGAGACGGTTTGAGCAGTCTGAGAACATTTTATTGCAAAATATGGTTTATGGTTCACTTAATATTGCAGTCATCCAACTTTTTGTATCCAAAGCAAAAAAAAAAAAAAAAAAAAAAAAAAAATTCACAAATGTGCTTCAACACTGCTGCCCATAACATTGTAATACAACATTTTTTAAAATTTGTTTTTATGTAAATATGTGATTTATGATTATTTTTCAAAATGTTGTTGACCAAACTCTTAGAAATGCAGAGTGATATTAATAATAAAAAAGCTAAAATGTTTCCGTCTTTATGGGCATCGGTGTGTATTAGAGATGTAAAATGGCACATTAATCACCCTGTTTCCTTTTGGTAAATAAGAAGCTTGTTTCCTTTATTTCATGTTTGTTTTTTACTGTGCTGTAACACCATTAAATAACATTTCATAAATGAGGAAAAGCAAAGCAGTGTGATAAAACTGTGCACAAGAAAGCATTCCTTTGGGTAAAATGACTCCTTAACATCCTCGGAAGAAGCAACAGAAGCAGGCCTAACCTTGTTTTCTTTTTAACTGTAAACATTACACAAATTAAGTCACTTTGAAAATTATGCAAAAAAAAAAAAAATCTCACATCTGCTAAGACCTGCAGGTTATTAATGGCAACAATCTGACTTCTTTTTATCGTTTTTCTCGATTAAACTCACATTGGAAACGTTCTGAACTTCTAATTTTTCCCACTAGTCATGATTCTTAAATCCTTATTATATTCACGCCTGTTCATCACCGGCTATCCAAACAACGTAAGAACCACAGGAATGATGACACTTATTTGAAACATGGTCCTGATGGCAAATATAGCCAAAAAATGTCAAAATTAAGCCAAAGATTAAACAAAACGTCTAAATATATACCAGTAACAGAGCAAAAATACATGGGATGGGCTGACCTATGACTTAAAGTCTAACTTAGACAGTAATAATGAATCAAGTTTAAAAGCAAGTGAGATTATTCTGCATGAATCTGAAATGGCAACAGACAAGTGATGTAGGTCCTATGCAGGAATCATCGTTATTCCCTCCATGTTCCCGGGACAGGAGTCAACCTGCGACAGGAAAAACACGACACGGTTCAGGAGGAGAGACTCCATAAGATATCAACTCAAACTGAGGGGAATGAAAAGTTACATGTGATCCAAAATAATGTGAACATGAGACGATTTTACATTGGAACCACCAGAGGGGGTAAATCTGAGCTCCAGTCAGAGAAACATTGACTTTCTTTCAAAAACAACATGCATTTATCACTGATGCTAATCTGTTGTGTCTTTATTAATTTAAAACATTGGTGTAAAAACAAATTAACTTTACGACTGCAAAAATACATCTTACCAAGTATCTTTGGTCTAGTTTCTAGTGCAAAAAATCTTAGTAAACTTGAAATAAGAAAACTAACTGACAAGTAACTTTTTAGCAAGAAGTAGAGTTTTCTAAAGTAAATAATTCCTTAATATTGATGAAAAAAATACCACTTCCAGGCAGTTTATTTAACAAACAGTTCAGTTTGCATGATTGTTGTAATAATTTGATGGTGATATGATAAAAAGTATTTTAATAAGTATTAAGTCCAAAGTATAACTTCAGAAGATGATCAACATTGCTCAATTAATGTATTATTTTTTGTCTCATAAATATTATGAGTTTATTCTCATGATTTTAAAAGCAATGTTGCCTGTCTCCCAATACTCAGTTGCAGAGTATTAGGCCTAGTATTAGCGTTAGACCTGAATTCAAAGTAAAAATGAACAGAAACTGTACAGGAAACTTGTCAAACAAGATGGCCGCCGTGCGTGTGCCGACACACTAACTAAGGAAACCTATGGAGCGCATTGGTGAAAAAAGTCCTGATTTTCCAAAGTTGAGAATAAGTTGAATTAGAATTTTGTGAATGGAACATATGCAAAATTATTTTTTTAAAAGATCTACACGCCTCCAGGTCATTTAAAGCTACAAACTGGAAGCATCACTATAATCTAAACATCATCTCTGAAATAATTAGTTATTTCCAACTCACCCTAAACATCTGAGTGGAAATAAACAAAGCAGAGTGCACGAGTTTCAAGCTTCCAGCCCAAGCAGCTCCACGTCGAAGGTGAGAGTGGCATTTGGTGGGATGACCCCTGGGTGACCTTTACTGCCATAGGCAAAGTCTGGGGAGCAGATAAGCTTCGCCCGCTGGCCTACGCTCATCTGTGGACAGAATGGACACAGATCCAAAAACTTCATGCCGAGTGAAAAACAGACCAATATAAACACTGAACCCAACAGTGAATTATGATGCAGCCAGTTCCCCAGAAAGCCAGAACAACGGCTGAAACGTAAACAAGTTACTGAATAAAACGCTGCCGTTCTGAATCCAAACACAGATCTGAGGTTTGCAACATAACCTGGTCTCATTTGTGGTGTTTATTTTTCCACAATCATGTATAAAACTGTATAAAAGTAAAGGTTAGGAACGACTGCTGTTCATAAATACAATCTGTTTCTGATAAACAATTAATTGTAATCAATTGATGACTGAAATAATTGTCAACTAATTTTGAAACCGACTGTTAACTGGCATATAGACTCTAAAAAAGGAAAACTGGTGAAACACACTTAAGTTAAAATTGTACAAACCCCCCAAATAATTTTACATTTAAGATATTTAAAAAAAACTATCTGTAAATATGTTCTACCCAAAACTCCAACCGGCAAAATTGTAAAAAAAATAAATTCCTTTCCAGGATATTTTGCCATCTAATTATTAATTGGTCAATCCAAAAAATATTCAACAATCAGTGCAGCAGACAAGGCCGAGCTTTTCACATGTTGATTTTTTGGATTCTTTGCTAAAAATGATTAACCGTTCTCTAAGAGAACGCTGTTATTGTATTTTTAGGCAATAAAATGGTTATTTTCTTACTTTATAAATGAATTTAATTACTCAATCACATATTAGCATATTTCTAATATTTAAAAAAGGCTTAAATGAAAAATCTGCATCATGTGACAATTAATCGTCAGAATAATCGATAATTAAATCATTGTTAATTGCATCTCTACAATCTTACCGTTTCCTGACAATATTTTCTTCCTTATTCACTTAAATGTGAACATTTAATGCTTTTAATCTCTAAAATGGATCAAAGTTTCTATGGCAGATTGTTTAAATCACAGCCATTCATTCGTGTTGCTCTGCTCTCTACGTCCCACTGCACAGCTTTGACTCATCGAAAGTCGGAGGAGCAAAATGTTCCTGTGTCTCCAAGCAGACTGAAGAAGAAAAACTCATTTCTCCGTTTGGTGCTAAAAACTCCTGACAGTTACACACACACTCTTTAATCACACAGACCTCAAACTCAAGGCCCGGGGGCCGAATCTGGCCCACCACAGCTCTTAATGTGGCCCATAAACACCAGAGGGACACGCAAATAGAACCTTAAAGGTACCAGTTGTGTGATTAAATATTATTTTGTCGATAAAATCAAAGCCGTTTTTGTCCAGTCCCTCCACTTTTTCGTGATTCCATGATCGTGGAAATTTATGCAAAATCAATTACTTTTTCACACTAAACCATATCTTTGAGTTCGTTGCAAATTTTCTGCAAGAATTTTCACAAACATAGAATGTTGTCAGATTATAGTCTATAATTGAGTTGAAGAACAAGTCAAAGTTACAGCGTAAATATTTCAGAATTTCTTGTAAATACTTCTAAATTAACTCCACAAAAATCAATAATTTTGATTGCAAAAAGTCACAGAACAATCAAAATCCCGGAGGGACTGAGCAATGTGAAATGTTCATTTTTATTTGTTGAATACAGACACATATTTTTAATATTTTAACAGTTTACTGATGGGTTTATCAAAACATTCTGGCAAAACCGGGCCTTTGAGATCATTCATAATCTTGATACGAATTCAGATTATTTTGATAAAAATCAAAATGAGTTTGAAATCCCTGATATAGATGATATTAGGACTGGGCAACAAATCGGTAACAATATATATTGCAATATACACATGATTAATATCGTGATTTGGTGATCAACTCCCCCTGGTGGCTTGGAGGACTTCTGTTTTGTACCGTTTTACACTTGCTTATGTTTTTTTTTTTCCTTTTCGTGGCTCTTATTATTTTGCCTCTATTTCTGTGTTGCAGCATTTTTCGTTAGCGGCCTGTCTCTATTTGTTTAATTCGTATTTCGCCGTTAATTATAAAAAATAAAAAAAAACGTATTTCGCCGATTGTACCTGTCGGCTACCGTACTTTTTATAAACTTTTGACACATATGAAATATGACAGAAAATAACCTCTAATCAAACCAAAACAACTGTAAACAAGCCTCTTATTGTAATTAAAATAAACAAACCGACTAAACGTCGTCAAAGTGCACCGATTATGACCATTACAGATTTTATCAGCTGTTCTGGAGGGTTTCTCACCTGAGCTACTCCCTCTTCCCATCCTCGGATAACCTCCTGATGTCCAATCTTGAACTTAAAAGGCTTTCCTCTGGACCTCGAGGAGTCGAAAACTTTCCCATCGTCCAGGGTTCCTGGATAGAAACAGACCCGGTGACCAGTTTGTAGTTTTTATTCAGCCTCAGCCGTCAAGAAGTCACCGTTAGCTAGCGCTAGCTGGCTAACCTCAAAGCTTGCACCGTTTAGCTAATGGTTAATCTAAATAACCCTCCTAAGATAAAGCATCTCCGTCTGTGTAAACTGGAATCTGGTGGAGGGTTAGAGAGTAAAAACGTGTTTTAACCCAAACGTAGCTTATTTTAGCTGCAGGAAATATTAGCGTTCATGCTAACTGAGATAGCCAGCGGTTAGGTCCAAGAACGTTTGGACTTGTTCGGACCTTTTTACAAACTTTGAAACCCTTAAGGACTTAATTAATACACAAAGTTAACCTAAAACATAAAACACGCTGCGTCTAAATCTGTGAGCATTCTTCCCACTCACCGACATAGTGCACCACGACGCGCTGTCCCTTCTTCGGGAATGTCCGTCCTAAAAATAAAAAACAACAAATAAAGGGGAAAACACGGAAGGTGGGGTTTCCTTCTGAACTATACGGCCCAAATGAATGAAACAGCGAACTAAAACAAGTATTATCCTCACCGTCTCCAGGAGTTATCGTCTCAATTTCTACTCCCATTTTCGCGTTACTGTATCCTTTCTGTCGACCACCGCTGAGGACTTGGAGCGGAAGGAGGAGGCGTTGCGGGGTGTGAACGGATAGGAGGGAATGCACCAAGTGCTGATGATAGCTGGACTGTCAATACAGGGCCGGTCCAAGCCTTTTTGGGGCCCGAAGCAGATTTTAATTTAGGGGTACCCCCATACTAACGTGCTTTATCATTCCTAAGTTACTCTATGTGTGTAACGTACCTAATATCATAAGCATAATTTGAAATTAGCTTACGTCTGAACATACCTAAACATTTGAGGGTTTTAGCTACACGATATTTAAAACATGTACTTATTTAACATCATAAACATACGCTGTGGCATTATCAAAGGGGCTTTTAATACATATTGTCTCATCTCCATTACAATTTATCTTCCATCTTTTTGTTAAGCTGCCTTTGCTAACAGTAGAACCAGAAGTGGTCCCTTCAAAATAAAAGCATCAAATGGCAAACAGGAAGCTGATAATAGTTCAAGCTAAATAACGACAAAAAGCACCATAAAGAGATACAAACAAGTAAAGAAATTAATTTGGGGTTATTTACAGCTGCTTTGCAGTTCAGAACAACAGTTAAATCCACAAGAACACACACAAAAAAAATCTTACCAAGTATTTTTTGCCTAGTTTCTAGTGCAAATATCTTATTACAGCTGAAATAACACAAAATTAACTTTCAAGTAATTTTGAGCATTTTATAGGAACTTATTTTAAGTAAATAATTCCTTAATATTGATGAAAAAGTGCAAGCTTCACAAGCAGATTATTTCACTTGTAACATGGAAAACATGAAAATGAAAAAATGAAACATGAAAACATCTCCCACTGGAACTAGTACTTCTTAAGGACTTATTTCATTAAAACAAGCCCCTAAATCTTGGTGAAAAGTTACTTCTAGGTTAGTTTTGTTTATATTTAAGGGTGCCAAGATATTTTAACTAAACTAGATCCAAAAAAAACTTGATAAGATTGTAGGGTTTTTTTATGAAAGAGATTCCAGATAGATCCAAAATGTGTCTGAAAAGATTGAATTTGAAATTGTTTTAACTTCTTCAGATTGAGATTCCATCCTTAAATGAAATAACAACATGGAGTTTTAACAAAGCTTAAATAATCAGCTGCTCATACAGATTTTTACAGAGAAAAGAGGCGAATCAGTGGTTACTCAGAACCACATTTACACCCAGGACACTTTGGATCGGACATGTGATTGTCCACCAGCATTTCCAGGGAAACTTCCACTTCCTTCCGAGCATCGACCAGGAAGGATCATCGGTTTTCGCCACTGAGGATTTACTTGTGACATCTTCCTGCTGTTCTTTCCCTGGAGGCTGCCCGCTACAGTTGAGGAGGTGGATAACCAACTTGGTGATGGATCACGGTTGTAAAATCTGTCTGGTTTTGGGTCATCAGGTTGAGGCTGCTGAGAGTTTGTTGGCAGTTCTGACAGCTCTCTTTGGTCTGCTGGTGATGAAGAGGCTTTATTGCTTTGTATGAGACAAAAATAAAAACATTTACTATTCAGCTTAGCGTTAGAACCAAGGAGTTAAACCAAATTAACACGTTTTTAACAGTACAGTAGGGTTTTATGCCTTTTTTACATTTTAATTTCAGTTTTTTATTGTTTTCTGTTTTACATGAGATGTTTCAAATGACCCAAAGGATATTTGTGACTTTAAAGCAACAGCATCATTGTTTTCAAACCAGATCAACATTTTTTATGTAAACTGAAGTTGATACTTTCTAATTGTACTTGGAAGTGTAATTTTCTGTCCTCTAAGGTGGAAAATTGAAGATGAACATCTTTTGGATTTACAAAGTTGTCTCACAATCCAATATGGCTGCCACACGTGTAAAACAGTGAAGGTTATTTCTAGAACTGGGCAATAGAGCTTAAAAATAAAATGTCAATTTTTTTCATAATACATCTGTTTTATTAAAGGAAATTACAGAAAATATTTTCAAAAAGTGGCTTTTATTTTAATCATCCCTTCAGTGAGTTGGATGATGGAGTATTAGAGCCAGACTCTACAAATTTTTCCTACTAAAATATAGTCATAATATTAGCAGAATAAGATGGTATTTTACTGGAGGAAAACACCTCATAATTATCAGAAATAAAGTTGTTTCAATTGAAAAAAAGCTCAATTATTGAGATCTGATGTGGCCCATAGACGTCTTTCTTTGAAATAGACTCAGTTATTTGCATGATTGTTTCAAATTATTACTGATAATAACTTAATACTGATGTGATAAAATATTAAGTATTTCTATAAGTATTAAGCCTAAGGTATAAATTCACAAGATGCTCATTCCGTATTTTATTGTTTGTGTAAATCCTATTAAAACTAATATTTAATTCTCCTAATGTTACAACCTTATTTTGATAATGTAACGCCTTTAGTCGTTTTATTTTTACTGTATTCATATTAAAAAGAAATCGTAGCCTGGCCCTAATACTCTGTTGCAGAAGATGGCTGACATCACCATAAACTATGAAAACCAAAGGAATACAATGGTTTAAAAAAATCAGATTTTCTAAAAATGATATCTCCAAAAACCATAAATTTAATTAACTGATGAAATCAATTACCACCCAGCCCTAGCATTTAGCATTTTTGTAATTTCATACTTTTGCAGTTCTATATATAGTTTTATATCTGACTTTCTAAAGCATAAAATTCTAAAGTTTACTGGCCAGATGAGAATTTCCAAACAAACCAAAGAACTCAAATTAAAACCAAATTTCCTCACAGTTGAAAAGTTGAAGTTGAGCATAAAGACGCAGCTACAACTTAAAAAGTACACCAAACTTGACCTCTGAAACTACATTGTTCAGAACAGTATTAACATGATTTGATGCACAATAAAGAAAAATATTTAAAGACATTTGTAAAAAGCCTCATACTTCTGCTGCTCCAGCTCTAAGCCTTTCCTCTCATTGACTGGGTAGGTGTGAAAGATCCCCATCCCAATCAGCAGAAGTGTGACGGGAACTGGAGAAAACAGCACAAACAGAGCTGTCACCACTTCATCGCCATGGTTACACGCACCTGCTTTGTAACCTACAACCCTGCAGACAAGAAGACAGAAAATACAACACAATTCACACAAATAAGAAATGCACAGAGACTAAACAGAGGCGATACTCACTGTAACATCATGGTTGACAGTCCCACAGATAGCCCTCCTGCTAGCTTATTGCAGAAAGCATAACCGGAGAAAAACAGAGGCTCCAGGTCTTTAAATGAGGGATGTCTCAGAGAAAAGTCATCTATCACATCAGGAAGCATTGACCTGCATAATACGGCCATAAAAATTACATTTCTGTTTCAGGGAAGGCTGAAAAACTAAGTTTCTGCAGAACTCATCACTGGCTGGTTTGGCAGGCCTGATGAATAATTCATTCGGTTTTCATACAAATTAGATCTGACAGGCGTTGGAAATGATTTTAGAGTTTTTATTTAGCCGGGTGGTTGACTCACCACGGCAGCAGGAACACGGTCGCCACGCTGAATCCCATCAGGATGCACATGGTCAGGAAAACCGGGAGGCTGCTGGGAACGCAGGCAACTGTGATCACGGCTGGGATGAAGAGCTGCAAGAGAAAACAAGAGGCTTTGAGAGACAAAAAGAAACACTAAATATGCAGATAATAATAAAAGACTTACTGAAAGGCCAATGAAAACTGTGGACTTTTTTCCAATTCTCAGAAGGACAAACTGCCAGAACGGAACTGCTACGGAAGCAGAAATCTAAGGAAGTTCAAAAAATGTTTTAAACGCACAAATAAAAGTTACATTTCATAAAATTAAGTTAAAATCAACTCAAATCTTACCAACAGAACCAGCAAGAGGAGCTGAAAATGAGCTCCCAGTCCAGCAGCATTAGTGCAAAACAAGGCAAAGTTTCCCAAAGACATCTGAAATCAAACAGAAGGAGAAGGAAACTTTCGTTTAGATGCGCGAAAGAACCTTCAGCTTGAAAAAATGACATGTAAAAAGTAAGACATACGACAGAAAAGGGGCAGGATTACATATGTTTATACTTCTTTCTATCTCTTTTTCAAACAAATATTAAGGTATTTGAAGTGTGAATGTGAATACTTTTGAAATAATCCAACTTTTTTGTTAGCTAAGCTGAGCTAAGCTAACAAAAAGTTAACAGGAGTAAAAATAGAAATGAGTGACAATCATAAACTGTACCTGAAATGCAAGAACACAGAAAACAAAGCCGAGCACGAGTCTCTGGTAAGGAACGTGACACATGAGCATCTTCAGGGAGCTCAGGCAGGATGGACGTTCAACAGCGTCTGGAAAAACAAAAACATACATTTCACTTGAATTATGGTCACATTTTTATCCAAACAAAAAGACAGAATCACTGAAATGTACTGAGGTTTAACAGTGGTGTAAGAAACACACTGTATCTATTTCTGTTGTTGTTTTGTCAGAATCTAATGAATCAAAACAAATAGGAATATCAGACAAAGATAATTTTGGTCCACTCTTCTTTGCAGAGTTGTTTTAACTCAGCCACATTCAAAGCCATTTGACCATAAATAATCGTTTTGAGGGGTTAAAGTCTGGATGTCACTGTGAAAACACAGTCTTACAAGTATGTCTGGTCCAATTTCTTGTGCAAATGTCTTAGTACACTAGAAATATGAAAAATTAACTTATAAATAGCTGTTCGGCAATAAATGTGAACTTGTTTTAAGTAAATAATTCCTTACTATTGATGAAAAAATTCTAGTTTTATTGGCAGATAAATTACTTTATAACATGGGAAAGATGTCTTGTCATAAGTTAAATAATCTGCCAATAGAACTAGAACTTTTTCACCAATATTAAGGAATTACTGACAAAAAAAGCTTATATTTTTTGCTGAAAAGTTACCTGAAAGCTAGCTTTGGTTTATTTTAGGTGTGCTAAGATATTTGTACCAGAAACTAGACAAAAAATGCTTGGTAAGATTTTGTGTTTTTGCAGTGAAGTCCAGACTTTAACCTCTCAGAATGATTATTTATGATCCAGTGGCCTTTAATGTGACTGAATTAATATGAATCTGAAAAAAAGTATCTTTGTTTGATATTATAATCTGTTCAGCTGACTTTAAAACGTCAAAGAAGTTTTATTTAAAATCTGAAATAATTTAAAAACTGTTAAAACAACACTGTCATAACTTTTTAGCATGGTGCCAGGATAGTTTGGATATCATTTCTCCTTAATAAGATAAATCTTCATTTTAAAAGTGCGTTTTATATTTAAAAGTGTTATTTTTGTCTGATATAAATGGCATTTTAATGAGCATTTTATTTGCAGTGTCTGTATACTGACCGTGTCGGACTGACTGCTCCCTCACACCGAAGAACAGAACCAGGCTGCTGAGGAGGAACAAGCCACCCGTGACCCCGGCTGAGGTCAGGAAAGCCTTTTGCTGGAGGCAAAGTAAACACCAGGAAGTGTATCTCATAAGTAATTCATGTTTTGCTGTCTACAAAGTTAGACGAAACACAATCTGGCATTTTTATGTAACCTAAAGTTGACCTACTGTGGTTCCTTGAACAGGTTGGGACAGCTCTACAGGCTTTTTATTATCTTTTTTTTTTTTTGCAGAAAGTCTTTCTTACATAATGAGATTTAAGTCTGCTCAGTTCTGCCCACATTGGGCTGCTTTCACAATGAGCTGTTTCAGAGTCTCTTGTCACCTTAAATCTCCAACTCAAAGTTGGTACTTGTACATATATATTGCTGGGGGGAAAAAAAGCACAATTATACCAATGTACGTCTTTGAAAAGTAGAAGTGGCGCCTCCTGCACAAACAACAAGAATCCAGCCTAATGGTAAGTCAACAACAAAACACTTATTTTTTCAGCAGCCATTGTACACCTCATACAATGCTGGATATTCACTTTGGTTGCCAGGTAACGGGGCTGGGCTCAGATGCAGTTGCTAGGTAACAGCACATTGCCTAAAGATTGTGACTTAACAACTGGGAAGTTTTGAAATGGCTCGTTTTCCAGACACCAAAAAACATTAATTTACTGCCATAAAACGTCTTAGTGGTTTTCTTAAGCGCCTTGGCTGTTTTCAGAAGCAGCGGAGACCCAAGTGGACGTATAAAAATGTGCAAAATGGGAATTGGCCCCTTTTAATATTTCTGTGACTGTCAGTAAAGTCATAGAAAGAGTAATTTTGTCATTTTGTCACTGACAGCTGGAACACCTCTCATGATGCTATTATTCACAGATATGTTAATTTGACATTTTGCCACCCACTTCAGTAATTTTTAAAGCTTTATCACACCTTAGATGGTCAGAAGAGGCTGAAAGGGCAGCATGACACCCAGAATGCTTTACTTCCTGAACAGCTGTTTTAATTTTTAATTCCAAAAAAGCATAAAAATTATCAACAGTTTCTTTGTTAAACAAAGAAGTTTTTAATTAATCAGAAAATTAAAAAAAATAAGGAGCTTTACCCATGAAATGATATGTGTCCATTATTTATCTGATATTTAGTAAACTTAAAAAATGTGTCAAACTGTTTATGATCTTATAGAAGATGAGAGCCACTGCAAAAACACAAAATCTTACCAAGAAGTTTAGGTGTACAGTTAATATAAGACAAAACTAACTTTCAGGTAACTTGTCAGCAAGATGTAGCAGCTTGTTTTAAGTAAATGATTACTTAATATTGATTAATAAATACTAGTTCCACTTTTCATAAAACCTTTTACCAACCTGTAAGTGAAATACTAAGATTAGTATTTTTTCATAAACATTAAGGAATTATTTACATAAAATAAGCTCATATGCTGAAAAGTTACTTGTTAAAGTTACTTTTGCCTTATTTTGTGTGTTTGCAATAGAAATTAGACAAAAATACTTATTTTTGCACTGTTTAGGTTTTGACATATTTAATGAAGAGCATGAAATATTTTATTTTTCAGTATTTGACCTGTGGATCAATAATCAGACTTGATCAAGCCAGGTTGATTTCTGCCTTTCAAGTTTTTCTTCTAATTCCTGTGCAGCTTCCATGAAACCCTAATGACATTTTAATGCATATTTCTTGAAAGTGAAAGTATAAATGGTTTATATTACTGCAATATCTGTAGGAATAATACCTGAACAAGCAACAATGTCTTCATCCAGCCAAATAAAGTAAATTACAGGGTAACAAGATCTTCCTGGGACATTGTGAGTATAATAGAAGCTCAAAGTTGCCAAGCCTGTTCTATAAATATTAGTTTAAGCTCGTCTCTATTTTAATGTCCCAGTACCGTTTCATGCAGAGAGGCAGTCTGCGGCGCGGGTGAGCTGTGAGGCGTCTGATGGACCTGGTCCAGATGCTCACAGGCCTCCTGCTTCTCAGCGTTGAACACGGAGACGACTTTTCCCTGAATCACTGACACCAGCAGCAACGCCATCATCTCCACGCTCATTCCTGGAGGAAAACACCACAAACACACAGAAAAGCCTGGAGTGAACCCAGTACGTGACAACATCCCTGTTAAAACTGCAAGCTAAGACAATCATATATCAAAGTTTCCAGCTTTGGTGCAACAAAGAATTTGAAGAAACATAAAAAGAGGGGCAATAAATGAGGAAACCTTTAATCCAATACTTTTGATTTAAATCTAACTTTCCCTTTGACTGGGATAGTGAGTGAATGCACTACACTAAAAAAATACCAGCCTGAACTGACCACGACACTCTTCAGTGTGTATGTTGAGAAAAGACGACTCAAAGTTCCCTACATTCAGTTTCAGTGAGGCACGTTAAAGCTGTTCCCACATTTTCCCGTCTAATAGATATTTTTTTGGTTAAAACGTGATGGATAAATCTCCCATTAGTTAGTAAAGTTAATTTTCACCAATTTGACTGTGGTGTATAAACATTTTCAGATGCAGCCCAGTGGCTCTGAGATACCAGCTGGTGAGTGTCTGCGGTTCCTCTTACGGCAGGCAGTGGCAGAGTCTCTGTCCCTCTGGTGTCCTCCCAGGGACATGCTCATCGAGACGTAGGGGACGCTGTAGCACTGCTCACAGACAACATGGGGGAGACATGACACCAGCTGACAGCAAATGAGAAACTCGATAACCATGGCGACGAAGCTCCCAGAGAAATAACAGCACATACAGCTGATGGAATTCCTGTCGCCATGGTGACGGGGACAATGAAGGACAGTGGAGCACAAACAGATTGAAGCCATAATTCTCTACTATCACAAAACAGCACAAACTATTTACCTTCTGTTATCAATTTTATTTTATCAATTAGTTAATGAGGGAAACTATCACTTAAGCAGCTTAATTTGGAACTTAAATTACCCATAAACTGAGATATTCCAGTGGTAAAAATCTGTTTTACTGCTTAGCAACTTTTTAAAAGACTTCCAGCTAAGAAACTAGATATGTGACATAAAACAACTTTTGAGTTGTTTTATGTCACATATCTAGTGTGACATGCAGGTCCTATGGTCCTAAAACCAAAGGACCTGCATGGATTTTTGGATCTGGATTTTAGAAAGTAAGAAAGTTAGCCACACATATAATGGCAAACTGACAAAGCTTTTTTCATCCATCTTACAAATGCAAAGTGAATAAATCTTTTAAAAAAAAGTAAAATCAAAAAATTTAGTGGGAATGAAACATGTATGCTCATTATGAGGGATTTCTCTACAGAGGGGCCTGCCCAGGGCACCATTCCTGTTAGCACCACCACTGTCTCTGTAGATAGAATCCTAACTAGGAAATAAAGTTCAGTTAGCTCAGAAACATGATTTTAAATCCAAGCTGAACATTTAAATAAGATCTGTTGACTTATATTTGCATAAATTGATTAAAAATAAAGAAAAATGTACTTCAGAAAGCTTTATTGTAAAAATGTAGTGAGCAATTTATTAATAAACTTGTATTATTTATAGATGGATTAAAAGTCCCAGAATATATGGATAGTGAAAAGTTTTAATAAATTAATAATACATTTCAATAATTATTTCATAAGTTATTCATTGACATTTGGCACTCTTCACTCTCTACTGGAGCAACAGTTTAGGATTAAGCTTTTAGGGAAAAAACTATATTAGGAACATAGATCTATATATAAAAATGTTCACGGTTTTTCTAAATTATTCTAAAAGTATGTTAGAAATAAAATGGCTTGTTCTTAGAAAAAAAGCACATTTTCAAAACTTAAAAAATAATATTTTCTCCAGGCCTAAATTATAAAATACAAAAAATAAAATTGTACTGTTGCTCTAAATTATTCTAAAACTATATTAGGGATAGACGATGAATAAAATTTATAATGCTATTAACGTGAATTTTATTAGCTGTTGAGATTTGGATTTTTTTTTTTTGTTGTTTGTTTGTTTGTTTGTTTTGTTTTCTTTTTCTTCTGTGGGTAGGCCGCAAGAGCGGCAGGCTTTACGGGTGGAAACTGTCAAATCTGGCAACCCACCAACAGCACCATGTTTGTGTGAGGCGCATGCGCCATAGTGGATAGAAATTTGGCGCATTTTCGACGCCATACGGATCGACTTGAAATTGTCTCCGTGTTGATGGGGCCTTCCTGCTGAAGGATCAGCTAGAGTGGGTAGGCCATGTTTGAAATAGCTGCATCTGAAGGTCGGCAAGTTATTTTTCAGAAACCTTATTCGAAGTAGTTTATTTTGTCTCTGATGAAGTTATTGAAACCATTTTTTGTGGTAAACAGAGCAGCAGACGAGGAACGACGGTAACACCACGGCGTCTCAGCGGCGGTTTGTTTGGCCGATCCGAGGAGGGGGAAAATGGCGTCTGGAACTAACAGCAGATCGATTATGGACATACTAAGATGATCTTCAGTGAAGCTGAGGATTCCCTTCAATCAAACTGAAGATCGCTTCCATCGAGCTGAGGATTCCGTACAAGGTGCCTGGCGGATCCGGCCAACCCATCAAAGGTTTAAGTCGAAGAACTGTTCCAATGGCGGATCCAGAAGACATCTCAGGGTAGGAGCTGTTGCTGTGCTACCGCTATTGCTGAAGGCCAACGCTAGGCCTCTTGGTGTGCTGGTTTGGTTTGTTTCTCTGCTGAGAGTCAATGAGCTGAGAAGGATTCTGCTGTTAATTCTGTCTTTAGGGTTTTTGTGCTGTTTGAAACAGCTACTGTGGTCATGTGACCTGTAGAGGTTTATGCTATCTAGCATTTTGGAATTTCAAGTTCATAGTTGAAAGTCAGTTGTGATGAGAAAAAAAGATGGCTGCCAATGATTAGGCAAATGCGGATTAAGGGCTGCAGGAAGTGATTCGGCTTAGTAAATATCACTGTAATACACATTGATCAGATGCCTTCGCATAATTAGTGATTTTTTTCTTGTATACCTTTTTCATTTTTTTGTATCTATTTGATATTTAAAATTGAATCAAACATTTCAAAGATGGGGTCCATACTTTAATAATTCAAAAACTCAAACAAATTTCATTTTTTGTGGTTAAACGGTTCAACGGCAATTTAAATTCAAGCATGAAAAGAGATTTTATTTTTGTGTTGAAACCTGCGGCGTCGTGATATTTTATTTCCTCTGGACAACGACAGTCAACAGAAAGATCTGGAGCTGCAGGTCAGAGGTCACAGAGGATACACTAATTCACCATCTTGTCTTTGCAGGTTTTCAGTTGAAATTAACTCCCATATTTTCTTTCTAAAGATAATCCACTGGAACCTGTCTTTGATTGTTTGCATCTGGTTTTTCTCCTAGATAAATATAAATACGATAATTTTGAGCTCACGGTTGTGAATTTAAGGCCTTGTCAATACCACGTGGTATATAGACTCAGATGGATACTGATCAGCAGTTTTTGTTGAGATGGACACTCTGAAGACACCAGATGGTGTTAGACTGGTGGGAAATATGGATGTCAAGATGGTTGTGATGGCACTGACTGTGAACCCAATCCCAGGAAGTGTGGTTTGCTACTTCCTGTAGCCACTCCTCAAGGCTTGAAGTCGTCGGATAAGTTCAAGGAATTTGGTAACAAAGGTAGGCGTTTTGGTCGTGGGTACAACAACCAGAACTTTGATTCGCTCAACGCAAGAAAAACACGGTAGGCTATATGAAGGTTTGGTGTTCTGGTCTTGGGTATAGCGACCAGAAGAGATCTTGTATTCTCTGGTTTGTGATCAAATGTGTAATTCAAGGGTGTGATAACTAACGAATAGGGGAAATGTCCTTCAGCCAGGTTTCGGGGTTTGACTTGAAACCCGTACCCATCCTGCTGTCCTTCATCCTGTTCAGGAATCCTCCTGGATCAGGTTTTCGTCTGATTTTGCCCTTCGTCGACCCTCCATTTATGGACGGAAAAGCCCTTTGCCACCCCACTGATGGACAACCTTAGTGACCTCTGACTTTACCACTGGGCTCAGCAAGTTTTCTGGAGGAAAACCAGGAAGTGTTCCCAGGTGATCAGGTCGGGCAAACTCTCTCAGCAATCTTCCTTAAAGAATGCTGCAGGTATTTTACTGTTGAAGCAATTTAGTGTGAGGTTTTGAAAACCATTCGTTCTGAGTCATTAAAGACCTGAAACCTGCACCCGTCTTGCTGTCGCTGTCTTCCTGGTTCGCCTTGTTTCCGACTCTGATTTTTCCTTTGCAGCTTCAGGACTAAAACTGATCCTGTCTGCATAAATCTAATGAATTAACGGTTGAAGGTCATATGTAGGGTTTTGATTTTTAAGATTATTTCCAGTTCTTGGAGAAAATAACTGTACCTCTGGTTAACCTGTCACAGTAAGTTACATGATTTTCTTTCTACCAAAACCAAAATGATTGTTTTTGTAAAGTGCTTTAAGACATTCGTTGTGAATTAGCGCTGTATAAATAAACAGAATTTAATTGAAAATGTGAAAAGCTAAAGGAAAATGAAAGAAATTTGTAACGTCTGTCTGTAGTGATGAAATATTTGGAAAATAAAGGAACTTCAAGTAAATGTACTTTAACTTTGTGTTTACTTTTATAGGCACATGTGAATTTTATGAATTAAATTCATAAAAGCCTGGTGGTAATACATCCATGTTTTTGAGTTAAATTTTTAAAGTAGACAAAAATGTGAACATATTTGTGTTGTTGGAAGATTAATACATGATCACCAACTACAAAGTCTTAAAAAATTCAAATATTACTAAAAACTATGTTTAGCCTGGTGGGGTACAAGTAAAGCCTGGTAGCCCGCCAGGCTTATAAAACCTCTTTATTGTCTGAGCTCTCACATTTGAGTCGATTTGTACTCGTGTGCCTTGAAGTTGATCCTTGGGGAGAAAAAGTTATTTAAATTGAATTGGAAACTGAAGATATTTACGCTCATGAACGTCTCGAACAGACAGGCGGCTGTGAGGAACCACAACACGCAGGCGGCCTCCGACATGGAGTCTGCAGGCACAAACCAAAGCAGCACGTAGGACAGGATGCCAAACGGAGTGGAAACAACCAGCCTGCCAGATGAAAAGGTGAAGGTTCAAATTCCGGACATCCGACTCCAGCAGAACTACAATCCTGCAAACTTTCAGAAGCTTCCCTGATGTGACGGATGACTCTAAAAGCTGCAGGATTGTGGCTCTCAGGAACTGGAAAATGGTGGAACATTTCCAGAATAAGTGGCTTAGTAGTGAATGAGCAGCTGACTGACCATGGGGTGAGTTTGCCGATGGGTGTCCAGGTACTGCGGGTCACCAGGTATCCAACCAGAGGGTCGGTGACGGCATCCCAGGCCCGACTCAGAAACAGGATCAAAGACACAGAGGAGGCCTTCATCTGGGCAGAAAATGGACAATTAATGGCGCATAACTTTTATAGATGTTTAAACGCCTTTAAAACAACTTTCATCCTTTATTTTTGTGACACATTTTAAGATGACAGAACATCTTACCAAGTATCTTTGGTCCAGTTTACAGTGGAAATGATTTATTACAATTCAAATAAAACTAAACTGACTTGGAAGTAACTTTTCAGCAAAATATAGCAGTTTTTAAAATCGATTCCTTATTTGTTTTATTGTCAGATTATTTCACTCACAGGAAGATATTGTTTTAAGTGAAATAATCTGACAGGAACAAGTATTTTTCACCAATACTAAGGAATTACTGACTTAAAACAAACTCCATTATCTTGCTGAAAAGTTACAAATTAGTTTTCTTATTTAAAGTGTACTAAGATGTTTCCACTAGAAACTAGACCAGAAATACTTGGTAAGATTTTGTTTTTGCAGTGTAGAGTATGGTATAGTACCCAAAAACTGTATTTAAGAGTAGGACTACTTCAACATGTTTTCACTTTGGTAAAAGAAAAAAGTAACAAGAAATTACCAAAGAGTAAAAAAGTATTTGGTAAAAAGGCTACTCATCAATTATGTCAAAATTACATCAATTTGATCAGACAGACCAAAACATTTCTACAAAATGTTAATATTTTAAAGACAAAATGAAAATAATTTGTATAAATAACATAATTACAAAATAAAATCTGGCAAAAGAACATTTTTCCAAATCGGTTTATTTCAATAAAAAACTTTTGTCTGGTGGATTTTTGGTTAAAATGTGTTTATTTTTCATTCAGTGGGTAGAAAATCCAGAAATTTTACTCAAACAAGAGTAGCAATGATTCAAAATAAAAGTATGTATAACCTAGTAGAAATTACTCCTAAAATAGATTTTTACAAAACATTACTCAAACGGTAAATTTAATTAGTTTCTACTCGACTGTGGGAGGTTTTTGGCGAGAAGAGGAACTATGATTTTCTTGTGGGCCACTGAGAAAAATTATTGTTGCAAAAAAAAGTAATTGAGGGAAGAAAATTCTTTGAGTTTATCCCAAAAGGTGAGGATAAAATGTTCCATTTTTGTGTTAACAGGTTAAACTTTCACCTGTACGACATCTAGCAGGAAAATCTGCAGTGAAATCCCGATGGCAGCAGATGTGACCTGATGTGGGACGCCTCCTACGGCGTAGCAGATCTTCATGATCAGAGGGATCCGCCCCGATCCCTGAGGACCAGAGAGGACAGACAGGAGGTTAAATCTGCAGTAAGCAACTTTTATAAACCGTTTGGGTTTAAAACTGTCACTATGACCTTATGGTGCAACATGAGACGGATGATCTGAAAAAATAAAAAAATTCTGCCTTCTCCCAGTGATAAGTAAAATCAACCAATCAGAGCCAGAAGGAGGGTCTTAGCAGTGTCAATCATTATTGTGTATTCCTTGTGGAAAAAGCTTTGGGACAGCCCTGTCTGTCCCAAGATGGCTTCACATCCGCTTTAATAAAACTCCAGTTTGTTTCTCTAGAAAGTCTGGTTCGTTGGGGAATGAGAAGTCGAAGTCTGAAGCGGACCAGAACGCAAACTCAGGTCTGGCTAAAAGCTCCAAAAGCAGGACGTAGGCTGCAGCGCAGGGCATTCTGGGTAAATAAATTCCTAATGTTGCAATTTTGGTTCATAATCTAACCAAAATTATTGGACTATCAGGTGTGAAAACAACCATAGAAAACTCCATGAAGACATGAATGAAAGGTTTTAGAACCCCCTGACCTGAACCTGATACAAGATCTGTCAGCTTAATTAGAACCAGGCCTTCCTGTCCAACATCAGTGTCTGACCTCACTGTTGCTTCATGAAGAATAGTCAGAAATCCCCATCAACACTTCACTAAACTTTGTGGACAGGCTGTACTAAAGAGAGCTGGGTTAAAGCAAACAAAAACAGCTTACATTATGACTCTGCTAAAGAAAACAATTTCCTTAATATGTACAAAACTGGTGCAAGTATACATTTTTTTCAATATTAAGGAATCATTAACTTAAAACACGTTTATCTAAAAAGTTAGTTTTAAATTAGTCTTACTTCAAGCGTGGTAAGGTATTTGCACCAGAAACTAGATCAAAATTACTTGGTATTTTGTGTGTTTGCAGTTTTGTTCTGTAGGAGAAAGAAAAAGCAAATCTCTAGAGTAATTTAAAACATTTCTTCAAGTCAAATCAGTGATTCAATGAAAATCTTCCAGGAAGTGCAGACTTTATTTCTGCTCTTTGTCCTGCTAATTCTTGGATGCTGTGGTGAAATTTTCCACGAAAAGAGAGAAATCAGTTACCCACCCTCTGCTCTCCTCCACGCTTCGACAAGACATTTCTTAACGCCTCGAGCTTTTTCGTAAAGTTTTCATAGCAGCTCATCCTCGGTGTGCAGGAGCAACAATCACCAGGAAAACGGAGTGTGAAGCAGAAAGCAACACTTCTCTTCAGGACTTAATTAAATCCCACTTATGTGGAACTGAAATCCGGTCGAGCCGCTTTTCTTTTTTACTTCAAAGTGCAGAACAGCAGATCGTTTTACACCGACTGAAAGTCATTGTGGCAGCTTCCTGTGTGGAAAGGTGAAACATGAATCACAGTGAATATTTTCAGCTAAATTAATAAAAACTAGAAACTCTGATTCTGTTGAAAGCCTAAATCATAAAATGCTTCCTCTTGCTTCTGCCTCAGGATCTTTAAAGGTCACAGTAAGATCATGTGAGAGCAACCTTTAAAGTCCAAGAAGCCATTTTCCACTTTACTACTCCTAAATAACGTAGAGCCGCCAAATCTACGTGGGAAAAAAATAATTTTAAATATTTAGAATTTACTAATTAAAGTTAATTTTATATTTGCTTTTAGGTTTGAAAATTGGATAATTTTCCAAAATGGATCTAAAAAAAAGAACGAGAGAAAAGCAAATAGTTTTCAGCCTAATGACAAAGAAAAACAAAATGAACAAGAAATGTATTACGGAGCTAAATTGGAGCCATAAAGTTAAAAAAATGTAAATGGGAAAAAAATTTTTTAAAGCCATAAAAAATTCAAATGTTCTTCTCAGATTCAAGGTTTTTCTTCAGTTTCAAAATTATTTTTCAGTTTTCAAACTTTTGAGTTTCAAAATTTAAAAAAACCTTTTATCAGTTTAAAAATGAACACTTAAAACGTTCCAGTTTCAAAATTATTTTCTGGTTTAAATTTTTTTTTTTAGTTTTGAAAGACAAACAAACTTTAGTGTCATATTGTACCATTAATGTTATTTAGTAGCTCAAATACAGAAGTTATAGTATGGAAACACCAGATTTGTTAAAAAATAATAATGATTAAAAAAAAAGATTTATGCTTTTTTTTTTTTTTTTTTTGTAAAAATCTTCAAGAGGAGGAGCTAAACGTCATTTTCCTTGTTCAGACACTTTAGATTTTCCAGAGCTTTTTGCAGAGGTTCCCCTGACCTCTTGTGGAAAACCAGAGAAAATTTCCAACATTTTTCATCAGGGGGCAAAAAGATTTTATCTGGTATATTTCTTGCCAGTCAGGAGGATAATTCTAATTAGATTTTTTTATTACACCTTTTAAAACATCATCATTTGTTCTGGCTTGTTGGAGCTCAGTTGGCTGCTTCCTCTCACTTCAGTCCAAAACATGAACATGTTCAGAAGAATAGTTCCCCCTTATTGAACAACTCGACCTGTGAGTCACTGAAGCATGAAAAGCTTTTGGATGAAAGGATGAATCAGCTTTCAAACTGAGCCACATCCGTGGATTCATGCCCACACACTTTCCCATCCTGAGTGTGTGGGCTCATGGACAAGCCCACACAGGCAGCGCGGCTGCAGCGCGTCGCTCGGTGTGGGCAGGAAACCTGAAATCCAAACAGGCACATTGAGGCCCAAAACTATTCATACCAGCGTCAGGTTTTACTCAATTCCACTTCATTTATTTATGTAGCGCAGATTTAAATTTTGGAGTTAAATGTTGTTGTTTTTTTTTTATATATATATATAATTTTGTTTTACCATGTTTCTGAGCCAAAGATAAGGAGTATGGGAAAGAGCGGCGGTCAAATACCTCAACATATTTTTACTGACGTAAAGTAAAAGGTAGCCGTCCAAGAAGACTAAAAAAGTATTTGGTAAACGGTCTACTAAAGTACTGAGTAACTGATCAAATTGTCAATCATTTAATATTTAAAAATTGCACAATCAGACGGACCAAAATAAAGTTAAGTCGAAATCTTGGTTTTAAGAACAAAAATGATAATTCATATTAATAAAAAATACCAAAATCAGGCAAAAATAATTAATAAAAAAATCCTTCTTTCAATATAAAAATTACAAAACTTTAACAAAAGCTGCAGATGTGTCTATATCTGGTGAATTTTTGGTTAAAACATGTTTTTTTCATTTAGTGGGTGGAGAATCCAGAATTTTATTCAAATAAGAGTAGAAATACAAAATAAAATTACTCAAGTAAAAAATACAGCGTAGTAACAATACTCCTAAAAAAACAAACTTTTTTCAAAGTTTCTCAAGTAAATGTAATTAAGTAAATGTAACTATGGTAGACTCTGATGGAGCTTTCAAACCTTAAAGTGAAGTTAAACCATCTGGAAAATTCCAGCAAAGTGGGCGGAGCCAATGAACGTGGGGGGCGTGGCTTAATGTGTAAACAAATAGGACAATCCAGCTGCTTAGGCTCCATTTGACAGGAGGCCAGTACTATGACGGATAGGAGTAAAATTCAGCCAGAAGACTCGGATTTTCGAGAAAAAAACAGTTTTGTTTTGTTTTTTTACAGAAAATTTCTAAGATTAATCTCAAAATTTGAAGCTTTGACTTTTCAAACTTAGACATTTTTTTGTTTCTAAAAAAAATTGACAGTCAGAAATTTTCCAGGTTTCTTTCTAGCAAATTTTCAAACTCAGAAACTACCAAATCTTTTCTAGAAAATTTCTGAGATCTCAGAAATTTCTGGTTTTTTTCTAGCAATTTTTTGAATTTTGAAACTCAATTTTCCAATTTTTTTTTCTTCTAAAAAATTTGCCAGCATTAATTGTGAAATTGTTTTTTTTTTTCTAGCAAATTTTACTTTTCAAAATTAGAAATTTCCAAATTTTCTGGAAAATTTTAGAAATTATCTAAAAAAAAAAGTTCTCACTAAAATTTCTGGTATTTTGCAAGTAGAAATAATTCTGGTAATTATAATGAGCCTTTTCTTCTACAAGAAGATAAACTTGGTCTGATTTAATTTCAGTGAAAAAAAAAAATTTTTATTGTCATATATTGTCAAATACAGCTTAGTAAAAATATTGTCATATTTTTACTAAGCTGTATTTCTTACCGTTCTGCTACTCTTGAATAAAATTTTTGGATAGTCACTGAATGATGAACTATATTGACCAAAAATGTTTTTTAAAAAGTTTGACGATAACATTTGATTGATTTTGTAATTATGAATTATTTTAATTTTGGTCTTTAAAATGCCAAAATTTCCACATAACTTTATATTTTGATGTTGGTTATTTTTAAATATTAAATTAATAATTTGATCAGCCTGTTTACCAAACACTTTTTTCCCTCTTAATTTAACTTCTACTTTTTTAATTTTGAGCTTCTCTAACCTGAGTATAATTTGTGGATACTCGACACACCTCTCATGCAGGTTGCATAGAAAACAAATTGAAGTACAGTGATCCCCCGTTTTTTGCGGGGTTGCGTTCCAAAAATAACCGGCGATAAGTGAAATCCGCTTATCGCGGATAAGTAAAAGTTGTAAAAGATTACAACTTTTACACAACATAATTAAATACTCTACATACTCTTCCACCAAAGAACAAAACCTATTTTCAGATCAGCGGATGTGTGTTCTTAATGTGATCCTTTGTGCTGCCTCCAGCCACAGTTTTTTTTCAGCAGGTATTCAAAGTTTCAGTTTCCATCTCCTGAATGGGCAATCTGTATTATGTATATTTTAGCCAATCAGGACGTAGAACACAATGCACTGTGGAAAAAACTGCACAAAAATATCCGCGAAGCAGCGAGACTGCGAAAGGTGAACCGCGTTATAGCGAGGGATCACTGTAGTAGCATATTCTCATATTTGAGTTGATTCACTGAGATTCGTCACTCTGTAGTTTCATTTTTTTTATTTAAGCGTTTTGTTTCCAGTAGGACATGATCCATGAAAGACGATGTCTGATGGCTCCAACAGCAAAAAGAGAAAAACAACCTGATTGTTTTCACAAAGAGGAACAGAAACAAAACGGTAAAACAAAAAGTGTCACCAACTTTCACCCAGACTGACACAATTCTTCATTCACTGCAAAAACAGAATCTTATCAAGTATGTTTGGTCTTGTTTCAGGTACAAATGTCTTGGATTTAAATTAAGACAAAACTAACTTACAAGTAACTTTTAGTTTTGTCTCATTTCAAATATATTTGCATTAGAAACTAGAACAACAATGCTTAAGTTTGTGTGTTTTTGCAGCGTTTTTACTGATCTTTCAGCCAGTTTTACATTTATACTCAAACAGTGCAGAAATTATTAAATTTTAGGTCAGATCAGGGGTGTCCAAAGTGTGGTTCAGGGGCTATTTGTGGCCCTCAAACTGATTTTGTGCGGTCCAGCACCAGACGGTTTGCTGGACAGTTCATCTGCTGAACACTTTATTTGTCATAAGGTTCAATTTATAATCAACAATTTTCTTAGAATGGAAACAAAGTATTTAGCTTTACATAAACCAGTTTTTATAACAAGTCGAACCACGTCTGCAGAAACTTCTACTGAAAAGCCGACTTTGCTCCAGCTTTCATCAAATGTATTACTTGGCTAGATATGGTGAACATTTTCAAAGAAAGTGACCCAAATCCTGTTCTTATTCCGAGAATAAATTAATTCAATCAAGCCAAAAATCTGAAAATTCCTCTCAATACATCAAATGTGCAAAATCCTTTTTAAAATGTTTGAATTTACAATGAATAACATCCCTTTTCTACACAGAGGACTACATTTGTTTGTTTTCATGGGCAGCCAGTTCTTTTGGACACATGACAAAACGTTTGGGTAAAACTTGTTCAACAATGTGTTAGGACCATGGTAGACAGAAAAAAATAAGTAATTTTCCACCAGAAATATAGAGATTAATCCCTGAAATTTTCTGGAAAAAAACTGAATATTAAAAGTAAAAATGTTTGAGGGGAAAAAAATTCTGAAAATTTGAGATTAATCTCAAATATTTAATAAAAAAAAATGGGGCTCCAAAAGTTGAAAATCTGCCAGTAAAAAAACTCAAGTTTTGAAATGATTTTTTTAAACGATTTTCTGAATTTTGAAATTTTCTGAATTTCAAAACTCAAAAATCGTCATCCTTTCCACACTTTCTGTTCCACACTTTAGATTTTTTCTCAAAATTTGAGGGTTTTTTTTTCATCACAAATGTTCAACTTTTTGAGTTCAAACTCTCCACCCCCTGAAAATTTCTGAGATTTTTTGGGAAATTTTGATTTTTCCTCCCGTCTACGTAGCTCAGCTGCGCCGTCGTGGATTCGTGTTGCGCTACAAGTTTGTGCTCGTCGTCGTGTTCTCCTTGACCTGCCGCAGTCCGTACAGCCACTTGATCACTCTGGCGTTCCTCTCAATGACGGATACGCCGTACGGAACCCGATCCGCCCCCTTCGGGGCCTCTTCCTCCTCCTCCTCTTCCTCGCCGCCTCTCTGTGAGGCACCGCACTCGGACCCGGGAGCGCTGACGCTCCGGAAGCGGGCCAGCGACACGATGTCCGAACTGGAGGCCGGCAGGTCCTGCAGGTCGGCCGGCTCCAGGCCGCACAGGTTGAAGAAGCGCTCCAGCTCCGTGCCAGCCCGGGAGAACCGGTCGCTCATGTCCGACTTGGACCGGGTAAGAGAGGGTCGCTTTCTGGAGCTGGAGGAGGACAGCCTGGTGATGGCGGGGGACGCCGGCGCCGAGGGTTCGGGTTTGGGAGCAACCGGTGGCACCGGTTTCTGGATGAAGAGCCTCTGGCTGGACGTGGCCAGACACAGGGGAAGCTGGGGATGAAGCGGAACCGGCTGGAGCGGCTGCCGCCCGTACTGCGGCGGTCTGGAGGCCAGCCGCACCGGGTCCGCCTGGGGTATGACGTCTACTCTGCGTACCGTCCCAGCAGCTGGCGCCCCGGGACAAACCGGAGCGTCCACCTTGGCAGGAGCGGTTGCTTTTAGCCTCGGCGTAGTGGCAACGGCCCGGTCAGGGCGTGGAGGCGGCCGCGGCTTCACCTTCGGCGCTGGGGGCTTGGCGGGGGACTGGGCTCCATTGGGTAGGTCACTAATGAGGCTGCTGAGGCGCTCCACGTCCAGCTCTGCCCCCTCCGGCTTGGGGCTGGGTTGGGTCGGGGTCTTCCTGGTGGGCCGCAGCGGAGTGCCGGGATTCAGCAGCGGCTTCTTCAGTGCCGGCACCCGGACCGGCTGCTGCTTGGACAGAGCCACCTGACTCTTCACGTATTTGGCCTTGTCCGCCTCCAGTCTCTCCACGGCGCTCTGCCTCGGGGCGCTGGCGCCCGACTGGGCCCGTCGGTAGAAGTCTGGACCCAGTGGACCCTTCGGTCGCAGGCGTGGGGGAGAAACTCCTACAGCAGCTTTCAGCGGCTGCCTTGAGGGATGTTGGAGCGCCTCCACTGGCATGACTGCAGCTTCCTGTTTTCACTGTGTGGCTTCCTGTTGAACGCTAGGTGATCATCTTCCTGCCATGACCAAGAGATGTGACCTCTGCTGACCTTCAGCAGCCTGACATTTGGACTTCCTGTGGACAGCAGAGGAGAGTCGGTCACTTCTCAGTAAATAATGTCAATAAAACTTTTACAACACTTTCCTGGAAACTTCGGACAAATACAAACTCCACCACAACGCCACACTCATTAAAGCACAAAGTATTCACACCACATTCTGTTTTAAAGGGTCACTAAGTGACCATTTACAGTACAATCAAGTAACCATGTTAACTTCAGTTATGAAAACGTTGACCATACTTAGTATGTCATAAAATAAATTTTACTTCCTGATAAAGGTATTGAAATTGGGTCTGTTTCTTTAAAACCTCAGCCTTCAGGAAGTTATCAAAATGTTGCTCCTCTATTAACCTTTTAACATTTTTTTTAACCAGCGTTTCACTGAGAAGTAGATTGTATAATGAGCTCAGCTGATACACAGCTCCACCAGGGGTTTGCTAATTGCTGCTGGCTAGTCTGAAGGAGCAGTTTCCAAACTCAGAGGAGCAGCTGCGTCTCTAGGGCAGAAAAAACAATCATTTTGAATGGTTACCATGGAGATAATTATGTTAGTATAATGCTCATTTCTGATTTTTTTTTTTTTTTTTTTTTTTTTTTGGCGGGGGTGTGTTCTATTAATTAAAA